AAATGGAAGTTAATGCTAAAAACAAACAAGTAATAAAAAAGGTACTAATACAGAAGCAATGAAAGTCCTAAGCTCTATTTAATCTTTTATGGTTTGTAAAACTTCACTCATAAGAAATAATGGTTATGATCACAGGTTAACTAGTTAAGTCAAATCTAGTCAAAACTAGTCTGTCAAATCTGGGACAAAACAGGCAGGTAAAAATATACTATATGGTTTGTATAAAATGTAATTTAAAATATGCCTTTTTTTGTTCTTAATAGGATGATTGTAAAGCCTTGGGAAGTTAGCGATTCAATTTGAACATCATATCTCTGCCAAATTATGATAGACAGGAAACAATATGCAATGAGACACGAACACAGCACTTAAAGTCTCCTGAGTACCATTCAAACCACCTTGTCTAACAATATTTGTGCTAAAAGCTTTTTTAACCCCCAATAAAAAAAATAAATTAAAAAAGTGAAAGAAGGGGCTAATGTGAGACATTTATCTCTGTCATCCCGAGGCGTGATCGATAGCTTTAGCACCTCAGTCTACACAAGTGAATCAACACATTGAGGACTATTCTGTTCTCTTATATCTAATTGCTGCCTCTTCAACAACTGTTCTCATCCTCTTCAATCCATTAACTGCTAGACAAAAGCACTTCTGAGAAGTCGTAATGTGAGTTAGGAAAAGTCAAAGCATCTCCCCCCATTAAGGCTCCACACATCGATACTTGTCTGTCCTGGACTGCCATCGATTAGCCACAGATCTATAGCTTGCTTTCTTTATGATTTTATGCAGGCAGGACAGTAACAGGACTAATAAATGCCCAATAGATGTGCAGTTGGCCATTAACTTTTAACTGATGCATTAGACTGGACAAGATGCTCCACATTTCAAGGTTGTTTAAGGTTGCTTTTTGCTTCTGCATTATGCATGCAGAAGCAAGTACTTCATGCGGTTTAGACATCCCCTATTGTTATAATAAAATGAGTGCCTGTCTGATTGTTTGTCTGCTCATGTCCTGAAATATGCATTCCGTATTTATGGATAAAAGAATTGCTGCAAACATACAGAGCGTGAGCTGGTTTCAATCATGCGTTTTAGTTGTGTGATATATTTTTTTTCCAAATGATTTTGTAGATGGAGAATTGCTATTGATTCAAGAAGCATGGCAATTGGATGGCGAATGGACGCCACAGGCCTTGTTGGTTAGTATGAAGGCATTGATTTTATTCCACTTACATGCCGTGTAGTGCGCCCGATCAAATCAGTCCCGGAGACGGTGCTGTTTGTAAGCTACGTGGTTCATGTGTGTGAGAATGTGTTATTGTTTGAAGGAGGGTGTGCTCGATTTTTCACACTAACTCGTTGCTTATCCTTGATCTTCTACACCTGGGGGTATGCCGATGAGTTTCAATTGAAAGGCTGAACTGCAGCTCTATGCAGCAGTTCAACTGAATTTCAGAGCTCAAGCATTCTGCTTAAAGTATTCTTCAAGTTTCGTTATATATTTTGCACAGAGTAACATAAACAGGCGGTGTTTTTATATTGAGGACATTAGTTTCTCTGTTGTCATCTGTATTTTTCACATTTATGAACAGGAAAATATCAAATTCAAATAATTTAAATTATAATTGGTGTTAGTGTGTGTGTAAATGGTTGCTTGTCCTGTGTGTCTGTGTTGCCCTGCGATGTACTGGCGACCTGTCCAGGGTGTACCCCGCCTCTCGCCCGTAAGCAGCTGGGAATAGGCACCAGCACCCCTCACAATCCCCGCTTGGGATAAAGCGTGAAAAAATGAATGGATGGATGGATAAATTATAATTAGTTTGGATGATAATTGTTTTGAAAATTGGTTGCATTTTTTTTGTTTCATTTAAGTCAAAAATACTTAGTCATACCAACATAAATATTGACAGCACAGAGGATAGCCTTAGGCTGAATTAAAAGGGCAGAGTAGGAAGTAAATATTATTTTTCTTTCTCGCAAGACTACATAAGTCCAAATTAAATTATATGCTTACTCATTTTGGACCACAAAAGCAATAAGAGCTTCTTACCTTTTATTTTTGAATCTTGTATTGATTGTATTGATTTTCTTTACTGCTTCTCATGAAAAATCCAGTTCCTTATTCCTGGACGGACCCAAAATGGTATATTTAAAACATTTTTCAAACATGATCAGCATTCCACTCGATTGTGTCACACTTCTCTTGAAAAAGCAGGTTTTTCCTTACTTTGGAGACATTAAGGGTTCATTTAAATTGTACCGCAATGTTTGAAACCAATTTGTCAGTCAATTTTTAGATTATCCGATAAAGGTTAAATTAAATAAATGCTGATTTTCAACTCCTCTTTTTGAGAGGCACAGATGAACTGGCACAAGATGATAACCACACAATCAGAAAAAGCAATACACAGAACAATTAGCAGCATGAGCTCAACCGTATATTGAAACTGAATAAGCAAAACCATGTGTGAAACAGTGGCTACGCAGTTTAATTGGCCCGTTAAGCACATACAGCATGAGGTCGTACTTGTTTGACGGGGAAATGATGAATTACCTTGGGGCTTGACTCCCAAACATCTTTTTTTAATGACCTTGTATTTTTACAGATCAAGTTGTAGGCGGCGTTAGTAGGCTACCAGAGGCTAGATTTATTTCTTCTAGCTTTCTGCTGAAATTAGATAAATAAATACCCAAGGAATGTTTACCATGGAGCAATTAGAAAGGTAAAGCTTCACTGCTGGCCTGGTTGGTTGGTGAATATTAAGGAGATAGACTGTGTCCCTTCATGACCTTTTTTTCTTTATTCCCCCCTTTTGTTGCCACCACTTGTTCTTTCGCTTCACCGCTTATTATATTATTATATTAGGTAGTGTTGATAGAAATTCTGTACCTAGTTTTGACAGCATAGCGTATTAAATTATGAACATTAAGGTGTTTATAGGTTTGAGGTTGACTATGCATTGATTGTGCATCATTCTAAATTAGGCTGAAGCAATTAAAGGGATTAATCGTGATTAATCAATTATTGAAATATTCGTCAATTCATTTATTAATCGATTAATCATTAACTGGAGTATAGAGACTGTAAAACATGCCTGTAGGTGATGGGAAACCCACTTAGAGCAGTAATTATACCAAAATTGTAAAAAATTATATAAACATTTTACTTTTAAGAAAATAATCTGTTTCATCTGTCAATATGCTCTATTCAGAAATCCCCAAGTGGAAAAGATTTAGTTTCACCTTGTTTAATTTCGTAAAAAGTCGGAAAATCAGAAAACAGATGAATCAATTTGCAAAATATTCGTTAGTTGCAAACCCTACTCTAAATATTATCTAGTCCACTGTAAGTTACAGTGGGCAGAACTCATTTTGGAAAGGGACCGTGGTGCTTTTTATGCTTTGCTAATAATATTGTTTCAGATTTATTAAATCTGGGCTGCATTTGATCATCTCAGGGTCTTAATTAAAAAAAAGCTCAAACTGATTAAATTTAAACTGTATGCTGGAGAGTTTTCAAACCAGTTTGCCTTCAACAGTCATATAACTCTGATATTAGGGAAAATGATATGCCCAGCTGCTAAAAATACAACTCTTTTCGCATTTTTTCAATGTCTTAAAGAGATTTATGTTCAGACACATGAATTTTTTTTTATTGTTTTCTGATTGTCCAACTGGATGTAACCTTTCAATCTTGACTAGTATTCACATATCATGCAAATTGCTTGACATTCTCGATTCGTTCAACACAGTTGCATCATTCTTTTCCCCTCTCTACTTGCAGCAGGTCGATATGCACTTTAGGATAAACAAATATTCTCTAAAAGGTTGGGTGGAAAACAGAGCTGCAGTTCGTTTTTAAAAGTGACATCTCTATCACTTGCCTGGCTGCATGCTGAAAGCCAAGTAAGTGTGACTAAAATATTTAGTCATGGCGTACCTTGGCTGCCTGCATCAAGGTATGAAGCTAATAGGCTCAGACTATACAGCCTTTTTCATTTCACCTAAGCTCGACAGAATGACACTATGGAGCCAAACAAGGAAATTCAGCAGAGGAAAAAACATACATTTCTAAACATTGAGAGCCTATTGACAAAAAAACCCAACAAAATTCAACCCTTTTTGTAAATAATATGTCATTTGATTTCAAAGAGACTATTTGTTTGACTTTTTCTTTTTGTGCTTTTACTCCAGGGCTACAGAAATGTTCTTATTGTAACAAAATTGTACTTTTGGTTAACTTTGCAACTCACCCTCTCCTCCTTTTCTTTTCTCCCTCACCTTCCTTTTCATTGGTCCTTTTTATTATTTCTTTCCAAAATGTGCCACACAGACATGGTTTGATAATAGTCTTTTGACTCAGTGACAAGCTTGTTACAGCTTTTTGCAGAAAGAAGTTTAGTATCAGCTTGCACAATGCGGGATCTGTCCTTGTGCCCACTGCAGGACTCTGATAAGGTCTTGTTGTTGTTCCCATATATTCAATATGTTATGTTATCGGCTGAAGAGCCAGCAGCTGAATTAAGTGAAAACAGGCGTACCAGCAAAAATGTTTTGGTTGTGATAATGAATTCTATCTGTGAAATGTCCTTTTTTTCAGAGCAGATGTGAATATAATTTACAGAGATACAGAAATTAAACTGTGGAAAAAGCATTCTAGATTTTAATAGGCAATGTTGTCTTTGGGTAGAGGTAGTTGGTGGTTCTGTGAAAGTGGGTGCCTGTTTGGAACAGTGTGATTGGTTTGGGTGGTACAGATGATGTTCGACTGAGACCTGTGTTAGGTTGTGGATCAAATTCATCATTTAACTTTAAAGGAAAATGTATTAAAGCTAATAGAGCGCTTCATATGCTGTATGCACAGGGTAAGGCCAAGATTCCTTGTGTCTAGCATTCCCTGCAGCCTATATCGTGAATTCAACTCTTTGACTTACATTAAGATGGATTTATTTAACCAAGCAGTGTTTTTATTTCTAAATCTGCTTTTTGTCTTTCATCAGATCGCACTGGGAAGCGTTCCACCATGCCCGACTCACCTGCGGATGTCAAGGCACAGTCCAGGTTGACGCCCCCTACCATGCCACCTCCACCCAGTACACAAGGGGCCCCCCGAAACAGCTCGTACACGCCCACTACATGTGAGTGATGCAGAATATTTTTATAACCTATAACCTCTAAACTTTTTCTTTTTCTATTGCAAATGAGTGTAATAAAAGGTTAAAACTCTTTGACAAGGGATGAAGTTAAAGAACTTTAGTTATAATATAAAAAATATTGTTTAGCTCTTTCTTTCTTATTTTAGCGATTTTGTTACCGTAATCTCACCGTGCTTTTTCGAACAACATTGATTTAAAGTCATTTTGATCATCTTCCTAAAATTTACTACCGGTATATGAATTATACAACTCCAATTCCTTAATATTGACCTAAAGGATGGGATAAAGATTGATTTTATTGTATATTAAATTTATTGTATATAAAGATTGAATTTTTTGAAAAAAATCTGGATTGTTTTCATCAATGTTGTCTATGCTCTTCTATTGTCCAGAGCTATGCCAGTCCATCAATCTTTTTCTTAGATATGAACTCAAAATCTTGCAATTCGTCATTATTTAGCATCAAAAGCTTTTATATTTTCATTGCTTAGGGTTTCAGGATCTGTAATGTTATGCAACCATAATTTCACAGCTTTTATTTAGTTCCTCTTTTAATCAAGGTCAATTCCCAGAAAAGATTATATAAAATAAAAACTGTAGTTTTTAAACTGTATTTCTTATAGTTTTTTTTTTTTTGTAAAACAAAAGGGAAATGAAAATTTAAACAATAATAGTGTGAAAGGGTAGAGTTTTTTAATGTCATATTGCTTATCCCTAAGTTACCTTAAACATGTAACTTAGAATATTAAGTATAAGCAGCTGGATCAAAATGGAATTAATTGGACGGAGTGTTTATTTAATTTATTATATAAGCTTCAGAATACAATATACTGTATGGTGATTTTTAATTAACAAATATTATTAAAAACATACTTTATTTCAAAACTCCGTTATCTAAATAAAGAATATTATATAGATTAATGGCACTCAGAAAATAGTTTTTTTAATTATAAGGATATTAAGGTCTGGAAGAATAAAAAAATATAAATAAGTACAGGGTTGTAAATATGGGTTTAGGAAAGAAATATGATTTAAACCTGTATAATGGTTTTTACTGTCAAAAAGCACTTTCAATCTAACAAATGAGCCTCATTATAATGTTTATTGAGCATGACTCTAGAATTATATTAAACCATATGTATGAGACGTGAGCAGTTGTATGACTCTCTCTCTCTCTACAGTAGATTTTGTTAAAAACAACTGCCCAGAAGGATGATCTGAAATGTAGTTTAAACAAATAAATACAAAATAGACTGTTTATGAGGACAAAATTGAAACACTGGGAAATGAAATGTGAGCATGAAGTTAAAACTGTATTAAGGACTTAATTCTTTCTGCCATCTCACCATCTAACTTTCTGGAATTTTGAAGCAATAATTTTGAAAAGCCTTAAATAACAGCACAACTTTAAGCCAGCTCTAATGTAAAACCACCTTTAAGCTGAACAGCGCTTTCAATTTGACCTCATTTTCAAGAACGTGTACAGATGAACTCACTCTAGCACAGAACAGCTCCACAGTTGCCCTCTCTTGAGTAGGTACCTAAAGTATGTAAATAACAAAAAGGGGTTAACAGCACCTTAAGATCTACTTATCAAGTTGAATTGAGTCTTTTTTTCCGAAAGGCAAAGAGCTCCCTCAGCTAGTTCATTAACACCCACGCTTACAAGTTGTTGGAGCTTTGCCACGATGCTCACATTGCTGGTGATGAGCAAATTACACCCTTGTATTGTCTCAGAAGCAGATACTTAACCACTTTTCCTGAAGAGTACTAGAATCAAGGAATCTGAAGCCGTGTGGCTCAGAAAGCTCTCAAGTCTGTCTTAGCTGTGCTCCTTCTAATCTGTGACAGAGGCTCTGTTTTGTTCTTTTCCAGCTTCAGACCTTTCTTGTCCCTTGAACTAAATTTATTCGTCTTTTTGTCTCTTTCTGCTGCGCACATTTGCTCCCCACAATTAACGTTGATGCTTTCGTGCAACGAGGGAGGAAAGGCCTGGCTCTCTCATTACCGATGCCAAAGGTTTTAACAAAGCTGTGCGCTTTGATTTCCATCCGCCATAATTGTCACCAGATGCAGTTTGAGTATCTCGTCTTTTTACAGTGGCGACCTTGGATAGCGGCCAGAGGGGGAGTGAGTGTATCGCTAGCCAGGAACTAATCTCATTAAAGAGAGAGCTTTATGTTGCCCTGTACGTCTTTGTACATCAACTCCCCCAACATCAACAATGACACACAACTCCCATAGCCTCACGCTACTGGGGGTCCAAATGTCCCAGCTAGTTTAGACTGGAGAGGAGAGGGAAAAGGGAGAAGGAGGTGAAATGTCTACATATGCTTTTCTTTGGGAATAAATAAAGGGATCAAAAAAGCACAAATGATTAAAAAGTGGAAACAAAACTGCAGGGTGAAGAGGGAAAAATAGATCTTAATGAATTGGAGTACCTATTATCCAGTACTGACTGGTATTCACACTAAAGAGTGCCATAGGTACAGTTTTATTCATGGAATCAAATAAGTTATTTCAAAGACTAATTTCAAAAAAATTATTTATTGCAACTGTTAAAAGTAACTTTATGTCCCTTTTTTAATGTAGTGACGAATGGCAGTAGTCACTCCCCAACAGCGCTCAACGGTGCGCCATCTCCTCCTAATGGCTACAGCAACGGCCCCAGCTCGTCCTCCTCATCTTCGCTTGCGAACCAGCAGCTGCCACCGGCTTGTGGGGCCCGGCAGCTCAGCAAGCTCAAACGTTTCCTCACCACTCTTCAGCAGTTTGGGAACGACATCTCACCAGAAATTGGGGAGCGAGTCCGCACACTAGTACTGGGACTAGTGGTAAGAAGCTTCCTGATATGTAAACAGTCGAAATTTTAGAGGACTTCCAGAATAACTGAATTTGGAGAACAGTAATGACATGGTTTAAATATCTCAAAGAACAAAATAAATAAAGATGTGCTACTCTTCATAAGTCAGGACTAGCTTTAATTACAGATGTAAAGCAATCTAGAAATGTCTTCTGTGGTTTTTTTGTTGACGGTTGTAAAGCAGCAATATAAATTAACTGTTACATATTTTTACTTCAACCTTATTTGAACTTCTCTTATATTAAAGATCTGGGGATCACCAACTTCTCCTATTCAATACATTACACGAAAAATCTATTATAATACACATTTTTTGTTTAATGTTCTAGTTGGTCTGATTTCATACATGACTGGTGTGGCATAGCTTCCATATCCAGTTCAGTGAAAAATGTGAATATAGACTTTCTATACAGTTATTTGAAAGTATTTTTGATGGATTATTAAATAATGATGGTTCCTTTTTCTTGATATACAATGAATTGGTAAATTCAACATTTAAAGTGGCAAATGAGGTAAAAAGAATCACCTTTATTAAGCTGCTTATATAACAGTGNTAATACACATTTTTTGTTTAATGTTCTAGTTGGTCTGATTTCATACATGACTGGTGTGGCATAGCTTCCATATTCAGTTCAGTGAAAAAAGTGAATATAGACTTTCTATACAGTTATTTGAAAGTATTTTTGATGGATTATTAAATAATGATGGTTCCTTTTTCTTGATATACAATGAATTGGTAAATTCAACATTTAAAGTGGCAAATGAGGTAAAAAGAATCACCTTTATTAAGCTGCTTATATAACAGTGTGTAATTTCAGTGAAAAGCTTGGTATAGTTGAATCTACTTAGCAAGAAAACAGTGTTCCAGCTAACTAGACCCCCAGTGTTGCACAAATAAAGCCCCCAAACATAAAAACACTTTCATCCAAATGAGATGAAATAAAAACAGATGTGTTTTGTAGCTTAGCTGACATGGATATATCAAGGCTGCGATCAGAGAAGATTTGAGCTTAATGAGCGGGGGGGATACAGAAATAGTGATTGAATGTTGTGCAAAAAAGAGGAGGAGGCAGAAGAGATAGGGTGGTGAGGGGGGGTATTTTCTTAATTAGCCACACAGAGTATAACCTGTTTTTGGCTTTTCTGTTTATTTTTCTCAACGTCTCCATATGCACATGCCTCTCCTGTGTCCTTTTGGCTGGTACACCTCCCTGCCGTATCTCTCTGTTTTCCCCCTGTTTTATCTCTCCTATCACCATCTCCGTGTCCCTCCTCCTGCCTTATTGAAAAGAGTGACACTGTTAATTAGCCGGTTGCGTGCAGGGAAGAGGGAAAGACGGAGGCTCAGGAGGTTTCACTAGCTGTCAAGAACAGCCCCGACGCAATCTGGGCGAACAGATGTAAGGCTTAATGTAACAAAACTCAGGTCTGGGAAATAATTCAGAGTGTGAAGAGACAAAAATAATGGCGTCTGCTTTTTTTTTTTTTCCTACATTTTCTGTCTCACTTGATTCTTCTTTTCTCTCACTGGTTTGGATATTATTTTGCACTCTCAAGCGTGCATGTTCAGTCCCTCTGTTTACTTCTGTTTTTGATGCTGAAATGAAAAGTACTGTCATCAGTCATTAACTGGGAAACAATAGAAGACAGATTTAAGTCTTTTGAAGATGTCGATTTGGAAGGGATTACATGAGGGCTCATGTAACAGCACAATAACAATACAGGTATAAACACATAAAGGGATATTTTTGCAACAATAAACAAAACAAAAACAATAAGCTGAAGCAAGAAAAAGAAATTAGCATTTGTGATGAAACCGAAGGACAGGCTTAATGAAGTAAGCTTAGTTTCACTGCAAGCTTCTCTTTTGTTTTTTTAGACATACTCCGTCTGCTCTGAAGTAGGACCCTGCAGGGGCTCTATTCAGTCTTGCGATATAAAAACTAAGTACAATAACTTTAAACTTAAAAAAGAAAGCAGAAAGGCAGCAAATAATACTGTTTTTTACTGACTGAGAGACTAACTGAAAACATTTAACTCAAAAGTCTCTAGGACTCATTAAATGTTTTCATGACATTTTACAGAACATGAAAGCCAGACAAAACCTGGGAGGTGAAACCAAATGTTAAACATTTCATAAAAAATTTGGAAATTATGAACTCATATTGGCTTATTGGATGGATGGATGGATGGATGGATGGATGGATGGATGGATGGATGGATGGATGGATGGATGGATGGATGGATGGATGGATGGATGGATGGATGGATGGATGGATGGATGGATGGATGGATGGATGGAAAAATAAAATTTTTTTACAATTAATTAGGACAAGAAATTGAATTGAATGCGAGGCTTTTTGTGTAGAAGTGAAACATATGGATTTTTTTTGTTTGTTTATTGTTGTTTTGCAAACAAAAGTACACAAAGGTTTATTCAGAAAGTGCTCATATATTTCCCAAAGAAATAAGAAAGAAAACATCACTAGTAAAGAGCTTTTTAGCATAAAAAAAAATTCCAGATCACTTTCTTTACTGTTATGTTTTCAATGCAGGCATGTCTGTACTTATTTATGTCACTTTTTAGTTAATTTTTGTAAAATACCATTATTAGTATTGGTCATACATAACATCTCTAAAGACCATCCATAAGCTGATGGACCTTTGTTAGCAACTCTTTAAAGTAGCCTCCTATTTACATCGTTAGGAGTTTATTTGAGGTTTTAAACCTGTTGTATGTTATGGGACACTACTAGCAGGATAAATAGTTGTTTTTTTATTGATTTTATAACAGAACATGTGGTATGGTAAGGGCATTTTGCTAGTATTAGGAGTTAAGCTGTTATTTTACAGTAGATGAGAGGTGAAGTCGGAGGAGTTTGTGTGCACTGGAAAATAAAAATTATGTGTCCCAGTGTGATCTAGAGGTCTGTCAAAAAACGAAAACAACACCGGTATAACTTGTCAGTTCAAATCTTTACAATCACATTTTTTGTAAATTCTTCATGCTAATCTCCATTGTCCTCCAATGGTAAAGCTGGGCACTTTCCACTTATTTTGTTTAATATGTAGTACATGTATCATTTTGAGAGGCTGATGATAAAATAAAAATATAATGTAAAATCAACATGTAAATAGATAAAGTTCAGCAATGCATTAAAATGTTGTGATTACAGATATAGTGTAGTCTACCAACTAAATGAGTCAGTGCACAGGAGGATATAAACAGACTTAGAGTTTTAAGAAAGATAAAAAACACACTTTTAAAATTTCTCCCATTTATATATCTAAAAACATATTTAAAGTTCTTGTGTCTTTGTTTTGTTTGCCTCTGTTCACTGTGGTCCGCCACATATGCTTCCTATTAGAAAAACCAAAACACTCACTTCAGCCCAGGATACAGCTTAGCCTCCAATAAGTAATATTATCACCTAATGCCTTCCACATGGAGTCATGTGTTTTCTCTTTGTTTCTCTGTTCTCCTCCCACAGAATTCCACGCTAACCATCGAGGAATTCCACTCCAAGCTCCAAGAAGCCACCAACTTCCCCCTGCGACCTTTTGTCGTACCCTTTCTGAAGGTAGGTATTCAAATATGCAATCACTACAAAGGGGCTGCTTTCCTGTATGTCCCACAGACCAGAATCTGGAAAGCATTTAGGCATCTGAGATCCAGATGGGCCCACTTAAGTTTAGATATTCATTCTCATTTTATACCTATATGTTATCCTTTATTTTTCAGCAGATTTATTCCCTTCTTTTTTGCCTCTCTTGGTTTTTCTTTTGTTTTAGACAAATCGTCTTTCAGATGTCATTTTCCAGTCTTTTTCATGTCCCAGAAGCTAAATCTTCCACTTAGTCCAAATGGGGCACACACCAAAACGGAAATCTAACTTTTAAAGTTTCTAAGTTGTTTCAAAACAGTCTTTTTGTGCTCTGGCCCTTTGCTAGGACTAGCCATTAGATTCACCCTCTGTGACCAATTCATCTAAATTCATCCTGAAAAAAAGATCCTACTGATGTTGTAAGCTACCGGTAATGAAAACGATCAAATGCTCATAAACCTGCAGCATGCCCCCCATTTCTGTCCCAACTTACCACATAAAAATGAAAAGTGATGTTTTTTTTCTTGTGTTTGTATCTACAAGAGGAGCTGTGGTCATTTAGGTGCATTCAGTGTGATATAGCTGCACATGTTGGCGGTCTGCAGTTTGCAGAGATGCAGGAAAGGCCTGTGCTAGAGGTTGTATGATTAGTTGGGATAGTCAGGCATGATAAATGTGCCTGGGGTTTACACTGAGGGTTTAAACTGTGCAGTCACAGTCCAGCTCATGTTCTGGTTTCTGTGTGGAGATGAGATCAATATCAGCTTGGTACTGATTGATGGGGAGCAGGAATAAGCGAAACATTCAATATAATGCTTGCTCGTTTCTGTCACAGTCTTTGGCACTTTTTACTCTCTTTTAAACTGAAATTCTTCTATATTTGTCGTTTTCCTCTTCACCTCTCCTTCTTTTTCGACCTCACGCTGCTGTTCTCCATCCATTCATCCATCCATCCATCTTCCCAATTCCCTTTCCTCTCCTTGCCAGATGGTGAGTGTATCACAGGGATGGCTGAGGAATCAAAGATGCAACTTTCTTCTATTTTTTTACTATCTCTCCTTCTCTATCTCTCCCCAGTCTAATTTTAGTGTCTTCCCACCGCAGGGCCTTTAATGTTAGCTACCATATGGTATCAGGGAGCAATATTCGAGGGGGGGGCGGGGTTATAGTTGTAAGAATGTACGTCAGGTTTATGGCTTATGCTTATGGTTTTTCATTACACTAATGCCATACTCCAAGTTACAGCCTCCATCTCAGATCCACTGAACCCCTTGTCCCTTTTTCTTAATGCTAAAGCCACAAATTGGTTTGGAGCCCTTACTGGAAGGAGGCTGTCATAAACCACACAATGCCTGTGACGTGATGCACTAGCTAGGTGCCTGCCATACATTCGCCACAGTGTTTCTCAGTTCTAGTGAGTTGTTATTGTGCAAACTCGAAGGCTGTGTCAGCACTGTAAAACAGAGGAACAAACACATTTGCTAGAGAGAATAAGCTGCAACAAGAAATATTAGAAATGGGAAAGAAAAGTTTCATAGTCTTGCAAAGGTATTTATTGTAGAACTAAAAAATGAGTGGTCGCAGCATCTTTATGTTGGAGAACTTCTCTTTAACAGGGTAGGAGGACGAGCCAGTGTTTAAGGGAAGAGCAAAATCAGGAAAATTATGGAATAAAATAACTTGCTAGAGGCTTCAGATTAAGGAGTGTTTGTTGAGGTTCACTCACCAGCAGTAAAACAACAATTTTTATACAACTAAGGAAAAAGAATGCTTCGGCCAATGCAAATATATCTGTAGAAATTGACCTAGATCTAAATATAATGTGAATTTTGGGAATTACTTAAAAAAAATTATTGTAGACTATTTCTTCCATGTTGGCCAGACTTCAACAATCTTTCTAAGACGAATGGGGGAAAAAATAATCATCTCTCAACATGCAAAACTAGCGACAACTGAAGGAGTTGCAGCTGTAATTATGGCAAAAGATAGTTTTTAAGAAAATTAACAAAAGGGGGTGAAATGAATAAGAAAACTAAACTCTTTAGCTTCCACCTCAAATTTAATCACAAATTTACAATCATATTAAATCTATAATCATATAAAATCCCTATAATGCATTCATTTTGTGTGTTTCAGGAGTATAAATAGTAGTACTGTAAGGCATTTACCTTTTATTTCCAGTTGAAAATTGCACTAAAAAGAGAATTAATTGAAGTGCATCTTAATCTGATTTTTTGAGGAACCATGCTGTCATTTTGAAATATAAATAATTGCCAACACATTTCAATATTTTCCAGCAGCATACCCCTTGAAAATAATTGAATTTCTTTTATTTGTCGGAAAACCTGAGGCAGCTTTACAGAAAGCCTTCTCAATCATATAAAAAATGATCCTGTCTCTTTACTGCTTGACTCAGTCTCCTTGTTATTGCCTCCCACATCTCACTGCCAATTAGGATGACCTCTAATTAATAAAAGATCAGTTCACCGGGGTGAAAGCCATTTATTTTAGCCTCATTTTTTATTTGAGAATAATTATGATCATAAACTATTACTCGACCGTTAACTTTGGAAGATAAAAATAATTTTGGCTCCTGGCATTTTTTTTATTACTGCATAAAGACGATTTTTATAGATCTAAATATAAATTATTTCAAACAAATCAGGGCTGTTGCATTTCCTATCAAAGATTAGATTAAAAGCTCAGAGGAGTAGAAGTAGGTTATAAAATGAAAATCTTAACTCAAGTAAAGCTAGACATGAGACACTACATTATTAAAAAAAAAAAATCTGAAAGCGTAGAATTATTTTGTTTTTAGGAAAAAACAAAGACTAACTCACCTAAGGCACGATGCACCCCGGTTAATATAGCAGCCACTCTTGTTCAGAGCCTTTCTGATGCAATGCTTTCATCTTCTTGCCTCGAAACACATGCCATCAGATGTCTTTGAAGTGGATGCTCACATACCTGCATGTCTCTGGAACTTCACAAGAGAGCAGAGTCGCTCTGTTACAGCGTGTCGAAGGCAGATTTAAAAAGACGTGTTCTTAAAAATGAATGCGTCACAGAGGGTGCCGATGCGCTCGATGTCACAGAGAGGAGCGATAGTTCGCTGGTATTGTAAAGCTGTGAGGGTTTGATCATCAGTGAACTTGAGGTTGTCTTCAGGTAATCTGAATCAATGGTTATTCATATGGAGATTGAATTGGCTTCAGACAGCTTTCTGTTTGATTGTGTTGTTTAGCCTGCTAATAAGATGAAATATTGGAGATATAATGTAATTTTAAGAACTTTCTTGAGCACTAATTTGTGTATTTTAAAGTTTTTATGTTATGAAGCTTGTGATGTGCAGGAATTCTTAAAACTGTTTTAATTCTTTACTTCTGTTTTGTCCCTTTTGTAATGAGTTCTTGATCAGTTCGGTTTAATTTTGCAAATAAGTACTTTTAAGATAACGATCAGGGACAAAATATAACAAGAAAGAGTTTATCCAAAGATAACAACCAGTTCAGCACAGAACTGGCTCTGGCAGTAGCAATGGACTAACTAAGGTAAAATCATTCCTGCTTTAAGGATTTTAATTTTTTACACATGATTGTCTTGCCTGTAGGCTAACCTGCCATTGCTTCAGAGAGAGCTGTTGCACTGTGCCAGGCTTGCCAAGCAGAACCCAGCTCAATATCTGGCCCAACATGAGCAGCTACTCCTGGATACCAGCACCACATCACCGGTGGATTCCTCCGAACTCCTGCTTGACGTCAATGAAAACGGCAAGAGAAGGACTCCTGACAGGTAGGCTTATTTAAAAATGAGAACATTGCTCTGGGTTTTGTTGGGATTTTTCTACACTGACAGTGTAACTGAGAGTCCAAAGAGTGCTATTAGAAAACGATCAGGAACAATCCTTGTCTAATTTGTGAGAGTTAACTTTTTTCCGAAATTTAAAGGCTGAGTTCCTTTCTTACGTCACCAATACTGTCTCTTCATCTCTCTGTTATTTTACCTCATGTTTAAATCCCTTTGAGGCTTTCTGCATACAAATGAGCCATTGCATTATTCCCCAAACACAGGCTGAGCCAACATTAGGCAATAGTCTGATGTTTAAATGTACATACAGGAAGGGCAACACTGGGTTCCTTGATGTGCTCGGTTAGATGTCTTTGCTCATCGCTGCGGTTCATAGGTGGGAGCTGTAGAGGGAAAGTCAAAGTACAGTTCTCCCTAACAAGACATTTGTACATGATGAAGAGACGGAGAAAGATGGATGAGTTCTTTACAAATGTATATTTTTAATAACTTAAATGTCATTTATTTCTTAGTAACGAGGAGAGAGTGGATACACCATACTGGGTTCAAGAGACTATATTATTCCTTGCCGATGGGGGTGGGGGGTTCGGGAGGTGCGTAGTAGGGACAACCAATTGACATTGTTCTGAGATTTATATTGTATTCTTAATTATAAATTACCTTAATTAACTGTGGGTCAATTTAAATTATTGTTCAATTCATTTTTTTATTTGTCATGCCAAACTCCGTTCTCTCAAAATTACTAAGATGCATCCTATCTCCAGCACATCTAAAACGAATGAATGGCTTGTTATTATCTCTTCTCCAAACCTATTTGGTTTGGAAAAGGATTGACAGTTGACATTCAAGATTCTATTAGACCTCCTTTTAGTTTTATAAGATTTAATTAACTCTCTATATAAATGCATGTATTTATAAATATGAAGTGTGTGTATCCCATTTTATAATCATTTGAACTCTTGTTATTGCTTATGAAAGGGAATCAGTAATTCCTTAACTTTTTCTGAAAACGATTGGGAAAAACTAGAAAAGTACTGAATCCATGAAGGTGAAGCTTTATAAAGCTGATGTCTTAGTGGTGAAACAAAGAAGTTTGTTAGAATAAAACATGTAATAAAAGCCTACATTCTCATTTGAGGTATGGCATTTATCATTCCATATTTTTTAACATTTCTCGATATGAGTTTGAATACACTTGTGTGTCATTGTGCATTTTTGCTTGGCTACAAGTACAATGCAAGCATTGTACTTTAAAATGAGGTCCCAGTGGCCCAAAAAAAAAAAAAAAAAAACAGGCTAGGTGAAGGGAAAATGTGCATATTATATCTGCTGAGGTCCAAAATTGCTGAATGTGTTATTAAGAATTCACCTCCCTATCCCACTTCACCCCAACCCCCTTTAACACCAGAATAGTTGGATATTTTAGTTTTTTTCTACGGTAATACCTGCATATTTGCAAGGCCGTCTGGCACACAGGGGAATGGGGCTTGGAAAAAAGGTGCGTTTGTAAATGCAAGAGGTGAAAATATGAGGAGTGAAAAATCAAGGCAGCATCTGTATTTAGTGAGAAAAAAAAAAAACAGTGTCTATGTGTGAATGTGAGTGCGTGTGACAGAGTGTATGTATCCAGTGTAAAAGTGTGAGTTCAGTGTGTGAGAGCCTGGGGAGATGGGCTGATAACACATACAGATGAGGCTCCAGCACCATTATGGCTGGCTAAGCACCTCTAGTTTCTGCTTACCTATACTCTGCCTTTGTAGAAACCAGGATTTGAATATTGGGATTTCAGTTCGCAGGGTTCATTTTTAGCAATGCTCCTTTAATGCACAGTGATCAATAGAGTCATATTAATAATGCTGTGGGATAAATTACTTAAATCTTGTTTTTGTTTTATTTATATATATAAATATAAATATCCATCTATGTAAGTAACCATGTAAACACCCTGTGCACTAACCCTGTATATTCTTCCTATGGTACATTCTTCTACTTTGACTCTTTGCGCTGATGTAATTAGTACATTTCTCCACGGTGAGATCAATAAAGTCAATTAATCAATGTGTTTTTTCTTTCTTTAGATTTTAATTTCTTTTTGCTATGCCAATCTTTATTAATCATTCCCCTACATTTGTCTGGGTTTTTGTAGATAATTATCCATGAAAAAAATATCAAAAACAGCATGTGACTTTGACTGAATTAAATAGATTTATATTTAGATAAAAGTCGTAGGTGAATTGTATTTAAATGTCAAATCATTCTGGCTTAAACATGTATATAAATGTACTCTTTATCAGATGATATTGTCCCAAAATTTAGAAAATTTCTATTTAAAAAAATCCTGCCTTAAATTTTTTTTTTTTTTTCTTACGGTATCTTATGCAGACCAGTTAATTATACGTCAGCCACTCCCCTTCCTTTGGTCATTTAAAATTTTTGGTCATCTTCCAGTGTGCTCTTTGGACTTCTTTTGGATTCTTTCTGCTTTTTAATCTTTTTGCTAAAGTTCTGTCCAGTCTTGAGCACGGTTATTGTGTCATATCATGTTTTAAAGTTAGAAAAAGTGACTTAGTGAAGAGTACAAGGCCTAAAACAGCTGCATGTGGCGCACAGAAAATATCTAAAAAACATGCCTATAAGATCTAGAAAAATGGAGAAAGCTCATTAAATTCCAGACATTGACAGAAATGTGACCTACAGCAAACTTTTACCAACATCTTTGACTTGTTGGTTACTTTTTTATTAGGGTTGATTTATATGGATGTAAAACAATATAAAATTTCTGTAAAAATCTAAAACTCAAATATTGCTTAAAGGAAATTGCCTTCAGTAATGCAGGTGCGGCGCTTAACATTACTCAGTTACCATTTTGATTTACATTTTTAAACACATCGAAGCATTTCTTGATGTTTTCAGGGAACTTCCAATAAAAATATTGTTTAAAGAGCAAAAGTAACAATTCTAATTAGGCCATCAGATTTTGAGGCTATTTGTGTTTTTTATATTTTATAATTTTCTAATCATCTTTTTCTTACCCATGATGAAGTAAAAATGAGGAGACATTAATCTGGACATAAGAGCAGGTGAAACAAAAAAAAAAGTCAGTTTCTTACTGTTCAAGATTCTGGATGAACGGATGAGGCTTTGATTTAGTGTTTTATCCAATGATAAAGTTAACAGATTATCTGCTTGTAGCAAAAGTGAACGAATAGAAGTTGCCAAGCATAAATCCCACTGTTGGCACAAGCTTTTGGCTGCAGATATAACAAGGATTACTGTTACAACAAGATACCGACCTGGACAAGATCGTCATGTAAGGTGGACGTTGTACCCATGCCTCTTTAAGGCTTTTAATCTAAACATCCTTAGAAATCTTTGGAAACAGAACATGCAAACTGGTAGAGGAATCTTACAGAGGCTCAAAGGCTTTTTGTGTTTTTTCCGGAAGAACAAGTGAAAATCCCCAAAACGAGAACCGAGGGACTTTTAGCTGATAGAAAAAAGCTGTGATTCTTGCCAAATGGAGTGTGGCTGCATACTGTCCATTGAGAGAGCTGCATATTATCTTACGGTATTTTTAAACATTATAAAGATAGTTACAAGAAAATACCTTTAATAAAATATCAATGAGTTGTATATGTCTATGCAAATTCAGTGAATCTTTTTACAATTTTACAAAATTGTAATATCATCAAAATAAGTGGTCCGCCTAATCATTCTGATAATATGTTTACTAAAGGCTGTCCTGCATGCACGTCCCCATTTTCACATACCGGTGGTGAGTCTAACAAAGTGGAAAAATTGCAAATCTTCTTTTGGAAAGTAAGCTTGTGTGAGCGTTGCAAACAGCAATTTTTTCAACAGAGCGTGCATGAGAAGAAATGGGCTCATGAATGCTCCTGCACACGTTTAATAGGCGTTCCCTCTCGGGAGCGGGTACAGGGTTGTTCATGTGCATTTTTTTTAAAGCGAAGAGGGCGGGTCTTTCAAAAACTTGTAAAAAACCCTCCACTTCAATTGTTTTGAACATCTGAAAATGTAGAAGGGCACCACATCAAATGGTAATAGATGTTTTACAAAATGATGGTTAAAAAATAAATTACAGAGGTTTAAAACTTTATTTTATTTATAACTTTTTGCTACCATGTCCAAAGTGTCCCGAAACAATGGTGTAGTGCTGTGATGGCAGGGAAACAGCACTATATTTTGCAGTTAGATGGTCTCTCAAGTTTTTCTCGAGGACAAATGATTAGCACGGGAGGATCAAATATGTATTTAGAAGTTGGAGGGAGAAAAAAAATTGGGAAAGCTATGCAATCATGAGTCTAAATAACTTCCAATATTTACAAATCCAATGATAAAGCCTTAAAAAGCATCGAAACACATTTGCTGCAGAGGTTTCTGCCTTACTTGTATCTGCTAATGTTTCACTATTAGATTAAAAGAAGATTGAATAAACATTCAACATAGTTCCAAGTAAAGTACACTTTATATGCACATTTTGCTCTTCCTGTATTTTTATTTTTTAAATCTCACTAATTCAGAAGACACTGATGCAGTTAATATATAAGAATCCTGCTCTTACTGATAAAAAAAAAATTGATTAGATTTGTATTTTCTCATCAGCAGTTAGGGATGGTAAACTATAAAATATTAGACTCTAGTGACCAGCCCATTTGTCTTGGCGTTTCAAGCCAAAATGTCTCATTTGCAGTTATAAGCAAGAATGTGCCTGCTTGCATTAGCAAGCTGTGCATCCTTGTAACTGGGTGTGCATGTATCTGCTCTGGTGTTTGTAAGTTACCAACGTTGTTGCAGCAAATAAGCTGGGGAGATGCGTGTGGGAGGAGGTGGATGGATGAGTCGAGGGAGACAGAGAGATGGACGGATGGAAGAAAAGAGCATATGGAGAGCTGTGGATGAGCATTAGGAGCCCATAAAAACAGCTCATTAAGAAGTTCAATCTGTTCATCGGAGAGAGGGATGGAAGGGAAGAGAAGCGAGACAGAGGGGGAGAGAGGAAACCAGGGGACCGTGGATAGCAGGGGAGGTTGGCAGGTTTTAACTGTGAACTGACAAAGCTGAGAACGCACACAACAACATACTGTAGGCACATATGTGCAGGCATATATACACACACAAACACACCTGGTCACATTAATCTTCTGAAGCAGGCAAACAAAAATCCACCTGATCCCTTTGAAACTACTTGTGTGAGTAGGCATGTGTAACTTTTTTTTTGTGAGCAGGGTTTAATTGTTTGTGTATAAATTGACTTGTTTTCAGGATATAATCCCTTGATAAATCCCGGAAACGCAACCTTTCAAAGCAATTACTTCATCTGGTGGGGGTCTGTTATTCTGGAGCCACAGCTCATGTCTCTGCATCCATTGGTAGACTACTTTATAGAAGAAATTTAGCAAACAGGTGTTGCTCCTTATATTTTTACAAATGAGGTTGGATATTAACATCATCTGTTCGTGTATCATCATGTCTCTTCTTGACGAGAGGTTAAAGACAAATTGAATTTTATGTTTTGTTATTTAAAATAAAAATGTTTTTGTGTTTGTGTTCAGAACCAAAGAGAACGGCTTTGAGCGAGATGGAGCCATCCATCCAGATGTCCACCCAAGCAAACGGCCTTGCACCATGAGCCCCGCCCAGCGTTTCAGTCCGTCCAATGGGCTCTCCTACCAGCCCAATGGGCTGCCCCACCCAGGTCCCCTCCCTCCGCAGCACTACAGGCTGGATGACATGGCCATCGCCCATCATTACCGTGACACATACAGACACCCAGCCTCCAATCACAGGGAAATCCGAGAGCGAGCCAGGCCTATTGGTAGGGATATTATTTTTACCAAACTCATTTTATTTTCTACAAACCTGTATATTGGAGAGTTTATCATGTCGTGCAGCTATTTTTCTCCTTTCAGTACAGGGGTGAAAGAAATGATTATCAGGACAGTGATAATAATTCAGCAGCCATGCCTTGAGATCACTTGAAGGAGATCAATGTCATCTATTGCTAATGTTTTGTTAATATACTTTTCTTTTGAGTTAAAACTGAATTGTTTAATATTTGTTACTATTCGTCGCTATTTGCTAAGCTCAAGTGGCAACAAGTCACCTGACTTGCACACAGGAGGCCCCGATTCAGACCCCCGCTGGGGGGGATGAGCTGCCTGTGTGGGTCCTTAGGCAAGATCCTTCATGCTAATGTCTACCTCATTGTAACATTGTGTCAACTTTGTAAGTTGTTTTGGATAAAGCATCTGCTAAATGCGTAAACATAAAAAAACAAACATGTTATTAATGCGTCATTTTTATCGTGTAAATCGATGAAGAAAAATCAATCACTCTTTGAATCAGCCCAGGAATATCGGCTGCAGATATTTGGGATTGGTCAGACTGATTTCAAAATAATCTGTATGGGCATCAGCCTTTTAAAATCTCTAAGGGTCAGTCTCTATTATTATTATTTTTGCATCATTTAGATTTCTCTATCAGAATCACATGCTTTACACTGCAAAAACTATCTAAAAATGAGTAAATATGTCTTAAATTAACTTTATTAACCCTTAATTTGAGCAGATAAATAAGATGATTTGCCAGTGGAGTGAGTATCTTTACTCCTAAAGTAAGGTAATTAGATATTATGCACTTGATGTAAGACAATGCAATTGTTTTTTTCTTATTTTAAATGTAAATTGTCTTGTTCCAAAGGTTCTCACTTACATCCGTAATTCAAGAAAAAATGCACATATTTTAAGAAAAAATGACTTATTTAGATTTTATTTTTTGCAGTGTAGTTGTGTGCCTTAATATATCACTTTATGTGTAATATGACTATGCTCAGTGTTAATTTTATCTCAAATGAAAGATTTTTAATCCACTGTATCCATGGAAAATCTAGGTTTATTTCTACTGGTCTACAAAAACTGGTGCTACAGCCACTGATTTGCCATTTGGGTGAAGTGTATTTAAATGGGAGATATTTTACTACATATGCCAAGTTGTGATGAAGCTGTAAGGGCTCTTTTCTAAATTTAGAAAAGACATTTACCATGTCTCACCCTGTGATGGATGTTAACTGGACGAGAAGTTCAGTCATTTGCCCTCAGGGTGCAAGAGAGATATGGAGACCACAAAGAAAAGAGGGCAGAGAGGGAAAATGGATTGAGCGGGGGGACATAAAAGAGGGAGAAAAATGAAAAATACAGATAGGATATAGGACGAAAATGATAAAGTGATGTTATATCGGTCGGTCCTCCTTATCATAACCACTTTTTCTCTTTATGTTTCTATCTTTTTACCGCAGGTATGCATGCAGGAAGCAGGCAGGAGGAGGTGATTGACCACAGACTGACAGACAGGGAATGGGCCGAGGAGTGGAAGCACCTTGACCATGTAAGAAAAGTAATAACATTTTTATTACTATTTTTTCTCTGTAAGTAACATTTGATAGTCTTTGTCATGTCCTAGTAAAATATTTATCCCACCTTGCTGCAGCTTTAGTAGCTAGATTATCTCTAAGCTGCAATTTTATCATGATATAGAAGGTTAAATTTCATGTGAGCATTTAAAAGTACAAGATTTGGTTAGACATGTCTAGCAGGTATTTTGCTTTTGCTTTTAACCTTTTTAAATTTGCCTCTTCTGAGGAGCGGATACTTACTATATAGTGCATGTATTAGATTATAAAATGATTTCTTAATCTTTGATATGTCACAATGCACTGTGCAGTACATCATTGAAACCTGCCAAAATACCAAGATATGGCTGTCCGCCAAAACTGACAGGCCCCTTGAGGTGAAGATTAATCAAGGTGGAAGCGGAGAGGTCCGTCATAATTCTGTTGGAGCTGCAGAAATCCCCTGCTCACATGGGAGGAGTCTGACAACAGGACAACTGCTGTAGTGGCTGTGCACTCCACAAATCTGACCTTCATAGGAGCGTAGCTTGTGAAAGGCCATTAATAAAAAAAAGAGGCATTTGTAGTTTGCAGTTTGCTGCAAGCCATGTAGGGGGCACAGCAAATGGAAAAGATGGTGCTCTTGTTATATGAGACAAAAAACTGAACTTTTAGTCTACATTTAAAAGGTTAAGGTTGAAAAGTACAAATGTACCTGATCCACATAAATACTCACAGCAGAGAAATGTGGTGATGGCAGTATCATATGATGGGGTTGCTTTTTTGTTCCCCAGGAACAGGGATGCAGTTAGAGGTAAAAGGAAGATGAATATAGCTAATTTCAGTAAATGTCAGAAAACGAACCTTGAAACCTGAAAGCTCTACATTCTGTTTTTTATCATTTAAGATTCAAAATATAAGATGGCAAAATATGAAACATTTCAAAGTATTAGAAGTTTTGGAAGACACTGTTTTTCTTTAAAAGTAAAAAGCTTTAAACATGATACTATTTGTTGACACCTTGATTTCTTTACTGATGATTTATCAGCAGGTAAATAAAGTTAATATAAATACTTCCCTTGCTAGCTGACATGAAAATAAATAATGTGTTGAAGCAGAGATGTGACCTGACATGGAATGGAAGTCAGCTTTGGAAATATTTACCTTAAATTCTCCCAATCCTTCATCATAATAATACTCCAAAAGTACCTTTGTTTCTATGTGTAAACCCAGCGCTGTGTTTTGCCTTTTCTGTTGTCTAGCTGCTGAATTGTATCATGGACATGGTGGAGAAAACAAGACGTTCGCTGACTGTGCTGCGGAGGTGCCAGGAGGCCGACCGAGAGGAGCTCAACTACTGGATAAGGCGTTACAGCGATGCAGAGGAGCTGAAGAAGGGGGCTTCTAGTGGGCAGTCAAGGCAGCAGAGCCCTGCAGCACAGGAAAACACAACATCAGGTACAAAACAGTGTGGGCTTTTAAAACTTTGAGGAATTCATATTGCATGCTTTCAGGTCAGAAACATTATGTATGATCTTAGTTTCTGCTGTGGAAATATACACGAAATGGTACACTGCTCCATGTTAAACGTATTATATTCATCAATAAAATGAAAATAACCTCTTATTCCATTAAACCATAGTTATTTCTTTGCGTTTTTGTAGATGTGATACTTTCAAGGCAATGTTAAAGTAGGGAAATAATCAAGTTCTATTTAACAAAACAATTCCAAACCATCTTAGATAACCTACTTTAGTTCTCTTTGTGGTGAAGATGTGTGAAACTCCCAAAATAAATGTATTTTCTATTGCAGTGGCATAATCTCAAACACAAAAGAAACTAAAAAGCCTCACATTAAATCCTGTTTTATGACATATGAATGTGGCATTTTAGAAGCAAAAAAGTGGCTGAGCAAAAACTGAAACTCACCTTGTTTATGCATAGTGTGCATGATGATAAGGTGTTATATATTTATATCTTTACCAAACTACAGATTAAATACTTTGGTTTCTGTGATAACAAATGATAATAGATGGCAAAGATAAAAACATTTTTCACATTATGGTTGGCTGAACAATCTTTTCACAATATGTCATTTTAATAAACCTACTGATCTGGTGTGTTTTCTCTGCAGACATTCCCAGAGAGCTGTTGCACCGGCCTGTTTCGGGTTACGTCCCTGAAGAGATCTGGAAAAAAGCTGGTGAGCTTTTATCCTGCATCAACACTCCCGATTATCTCTTCACAGTTTACAAGACCTGTTGCTCTGAACAATATCAAAGCTGTTTTTTGAGGGTTTTCTTTACATTTTGATGGCTAGTGGATATATGTTGCTAAAATGTGTTGTTTTAAATGTCTACATAGTTCTGGAAATACCATAAAAGAAATGTTGTGTACCCTTTGGGTGTCAGTTTAGCAAAACTCTGGAGGGGATTTCTGATATGTGCACTCATCCAATTTTTCACAGAGAATGTGTCTGTAGAGATGCTGGCATTTCCATATATTGCATCTTACCTTTTTATCAAGAGCTTGCAATGTCTAACTTTAGTACTTTTAGTGTACACAGCTGTCAAAACTGGAAAAACTTGTTGGAGTTTGGCTGTTTAATCAAACTTAGTATTCACTAAGGTGTTCCAGCAAACATTTCAGTACACCAAAGTTTTCCATTCTTACTTACAGCTGCAGTATTGTTGCCTTCCCTCCATCTGGAGATGGTCTGCTAATACTCATTTGAACTCTGACCCTTTTTTCAATTGGATGTTGTTGTTTTTTTTAGACTGTTCTATCTAAACCTAACAGCAGCAGTTTGTGAAAAACTCAGCTCAATACTGTCTGGCACCAATAACACTGATACATCCAGATTAGGATTGGGAAATTAAATACATTTGCAACATAATCACAATTTAGCAAAACACAAGTTTAAAATCATAGAGGTGCTACATTTTAGTGGCATTACATTTAACAAGAGTAAGATAAATAAGTACATGTTTCCCTCCAGCCCTTTAGATGGAGGTTATATATTTAAAGGTATTGTGGAGGATTTTCACAATTTTTTTAAAAGACCCACCCTCTCCACTTACTGTAATTGAAAATGCACATGCACAACCCTGTACCTGCTTCTGAGATGGAACGCCTATTTAACATGTGCAAGAGCATGCACAAGCCCATTTCTCCTTGTGCACACTATGTTTAAAATGTGCTGTTTACATTACTCATACAAGCTTTGTCACGGTTTGGTTGTGGTTAGTGGACCCAAATGCAGAGGCTGAGGGTTGGGGGCGAGTTCTTGCTGTTTCATTAATGAAAAAAAACACAGGTAACAGAGGCAGGAATCCAAAAATCCCAAAATCTAAATTGAAAATGTAAAACAAACCAGAAGCATGGAGACATCAGGGGGAAACAATCACGAGGGTCCAGGGTAAGATGAGGTGAAGCGAGGCGAGGTAAAGTGAAGTAAGACGAGAAACCAGCACTGAGGAACTGTACAAGGAGTGTATTTATGGGAGACTGAACAAAGAGAGGACTAACGAGCAGATTGAGAGCAGGTGTGAACAGAGCAGCAGAGGAAAGAGCTAGGGAAAAGGAGACTAACACAAGAGGGCAACAGGGAAACAAATAAAAACCTTAGAACTCAAATACATCCAGAAAATATAACAAAATAGGAATTAAACCAATAAAACTAGGAAATATAGAACAAAAAAAACATAACAGAATCAAGACCGTGACAAGCTTACTGTGTCCTAACGTCCACCCTAACCCCTAAATCCCTCATCACTATATAGAGCGGGGACTATATAGTGAACTTCACAGGAAACTTTTTGCTTTCCGTTGGTCACGTAACTCTGCCTCCACCATGAGGTCCCTGCACCATCTTTGTTATTAGTTGCCGCTGTCAGGTAGCGACAGCCTATTGCGATAGGGGGCCGCTGGGACAGCAAATCCCATAATGCTTTGCAAAGAGAACTCTTACATTGAAAAAGATAGCTACCATTACGAGCACGTAGGACAGCCTTACGTAAACATATCACCAGAATGATTGACAGTTAGGAAGACCACCTATTTAGATGATCCACCCGGAAATAAAAAGATTGTGACAGACACAGCGCACAAACCTCTTTTAAACAAAGGTTCAGTCCAGCAGTATTGTACATTGGACAAGTAACTTTTAAGGCCATGGTAAAAACTAAAACCCTGGAATGAAACATTTACATACTTGTGCTTGGTGCAAAGTAAAATCGCAATGAAATTACAATACTGGGTGAAATTATTTGCAGTTTTTAGTTTTGGCATAATTCTGCCCTAATTCAGATTCCCTTTAATCCGTCTCTACCCCATTTTGGTGTTCATTTTGAATTTTAGCAGTTGTTTTCATCACATCTAGATCCCTAAATAATTCTAGGGTCCTGAATATAGAATAAACAGCTGGAGCAAAGAAATGGGCTCTAATAATCTGTTAAAATAGTATTTTCCTTATTCTAACTAAGATATGTTGTATAGATGAGCTGATCTAAATAAACCGGAAAAATTGCTCAACTTATGCATCATGAGTGCATTTACACTTACAGATATAGCTGCCCTGAACACTGGAATGTGTCCAGTCCTTCAAGAATCCACTTGGTATTCAGAGCTAGGGCTAGATTATATGTGCCTTTTAAAGTTGTCGGAGAAAAGAAATTGCCCCCTTGCTAGACCATGCATGATGTGTGTGATACTCTGAACAAGTAATATGCATTTAAATTGAATTGAGTAACACCATAGGAGCTCTGACTGCTTTCTGGTACTCTCCCTTTCCCTCTGCAGCTTTGATCGATCTTCTATCTCAGACATTTGGTGTGTAATCACGATTGAGTGCAAAGACCTTATATCTCAAGGCAACCAGAGCAATTTCCATAACTTCACTCAGCACAGTAGGTTAAAGGCAAAAGCACCCTGGTTTAAATAATTTGCTCAATCACAATGGAGAGAAAAATGTCTTTGGAAAAATGCCATTTTTTTCCCCCTAGGACTTGTTTTAAAGTCTACAAAAAGAGTAGTCAACCAGTTTATTACAAATAAAGCTGTTTGTATTTGTGGTCTGTATAAAAGAAATAAGGCCTGCTGTTTTCTGTCGTTTTTCTGAGGAGAATGTGATGAAAATGTAACCCAGGGAGGATTGCAAAACTTGTTTTTTTTTAATACAATAGAAAGCAGCCGTGAATACATCTGTTTGAAACAGGCAAAATGTTTACAGTTGGTGATAAATATTCAAGCACCTTGCACGGTTTACCACCGCTTCTCCCACTTCCCCTCACCGCGTGGGCCTGTGGGATCACAATAGAAATGCATAATTTAAATGCAAATTGGCCGATTTGCATACACAATTAGTCAAGTTACAGGCATGACGGCAGCAAACACAAAAAAGCCCTCCTTTTGCTTTGACTTGATTTTGCAGTTTAATATCCACACACAAGGTCATTCTTTGCTCCAAACAAGAGTAAAATAACACAGTAAGAAAGCCTGAAAGCACATTGTTATTTTCTGGAAAAAAAATTTCTTTCTTCTATCTTTTGTATGGATTTTTCACCTTTCTGTAAAGGATGTATGTTTAGTTTGACTCTTGGGTTATATTATTAACGCTTAAAATCAGTTTTTACCTGTGGAATAAAATTTTCTGGGTCAAATTACAGTTTTAGAGGCTTTTTTTGGTGGTGGGCGAGTGTTAATGTTGAGAATCTCTGCATCATTGGTTTTGATATTTAGCTGAGTTGGGTTAGATCAACGTAATAAAACAAATGTGTACTACAGGAAAATTTAATGAAGACTCTTTAGGCATGTAAGTCTTATATTGTTTTAGAACAATACACTTGTGTCTGCTTTAGTAAACAACCGCATCTGCACTTATATTCTCTAAAGATGTATAATAAGCCTTAAAGACTATTTCAAGACTGTTTAACACTTCTACCAAGGTTTAAAATAAACATTATGTCTTTAAGGTATTTTAAGGATTGAGAAGAAGAAACATTTAGTAGAATTTTACAGAAAACATAAATGATGTGACATGATCAAGAAAAACTGGGAAGTAACATGTGTGAAGAATAACATTCCTTGTTCCTAAACTCCTTCCAGAAGAGGCGGTGAATGAGGTGAAGCGTCAGGCCATGTCTGAACTGCAGAAAGCCGTGTCAGAGGCAGAGCGAAAGGCTCATGAGATGATCAGCACTGAGCGGGCAAAGATGGAGCGTACTGTAGCTGAGGCCAAACGTCAGGCAGCTGAGGACGCACTTTCCATCATCAACCAGCAGGAGGACTCCAGCGAGGTAAGATCAGGGAAACCTCTCTGAACCCAAGGGTGTTACGATTCAGAACATAGGACTCAGTATTTAAGGCAAGACAGGCAGTGGGATTACTCAAAAGCGTTTATTTAAAACACGGATCTGTGGTTCTGTAGTAGCAGCAGCTAGGGCATCTAAGGCAGGAATATCTGGTTTCGAGTTTAGTCCATGCCCAGAGATTGAGAAAGGATCCAGCTGGTGGGCTACCAACAAGATGCGGCGGGTGCTGCCCAGAGTGTCCGAGAAAATGCAGTCCCAGAGAACATGCAGGATTCCAAAGCCAGGTCAGGCAAACAGATCAGAACAAGAACAGGCAAGGCTCAAAGATTCAGGAGTCCGGAGCCAGTTCAGGCAAACCGTTCAGACAGGAACTGGCAGGTTCAGTGGTTAAGAGGTAGAACAGGTCAGGATCAGGAAATCAGAAACACCAAGGAACTCCAAAAATACTCTCACCACTGGCTAGAGAGAACAAGATAATCTTGCACTGATGACTGGGAGCAAGCACCTTAAATAGAGTCAGGAGCAGATGGATCAGATGAGCAGTGATTAGAAACCAGGCAGAGTTAGACAGGTGAATGAAACAAACAATTAAGCTAGTCATCAGCTCCAAGATCATGACAAGAGGAGTTACTACCAGCTACTCTTGAGGCTTTCTATGTGAGGATGATTTGGATGGGCTTACAGATAAATGATTTTTCATGTGCTCTTTTGTGACTGTCTTGTTGGAGGATTTAGCTAAATCTGTTTTCAAAAATAATATGCCCAACTTAGACATTTTCCAATCAGAGGAAAATACAGCGAGGACACTCAAGTATCTACTGCTTTTTATTCTATCTCTCTTCCCGGTTTCAAGCGCAGTAACCGGAGTGTACAGGAGGGTGTTTCTAATTCAGCTGAGAGGAAAGAAGAGAAAACCACTCACTCATTTGCTAATGTCCACTGGAGACCTTGAGGTTTTAATCAGTTAAGTAGTCGGAAAATATGGCTCCTATCTGACATTAATTGGAGGAGTGATGCTTGTGAAAGAGAAGCGTCATAGGGGAGAACTTGTAGAGGTTGCTTATAACTTTGTCCTCTAGTTTTCTGTAGTAAAGAACAATCCTAAAAGCTATTCTCAATATTTAATGATTTAAGATCTACCTGTGATGTGTTTTATGTAAATAAACCCATAAACATGTTCATTGGATATATTTGCACAAACCTATTAGCTCTATTGTAAGAGTGTTCTGCTTTAACAAATTTGAAAGTTTATGTAAAGTAAAAAACAAGACCTTGTATTCAAAATGGTTTACAAACCGAAAGATGTTTCTGACCTGATCTTTGTTCATGCTATAAGCAATACGTCACAGAATAGATCAAGGTTACTTAGACTGGATGGATAGTTTCTGTTATCATAAATTTTTAGCTCTTGTCCCAGATTTTTAATAGATATATGTCTCGAATTCATTGTTGCTCTGGCTCAGTGTTTTGTGTTGATCATATTGGAAGTTCAAACTTTCATCCCATTTTATATAATTAGGATTAATTTGAAATCAACCCATTTTTTTTCTTTTGCACTAATCTCCTGCTTTTTGTTAGTATATCCCAAATAAATTCCTTTAAAAGGTTGCGGTTGCAATGTGACAAGTTTTGAACCAGTTTATGAATATTCAGACATTCTACACAGAAAAATGATCTTAAAATTTGTTTTTAAAAATTCTCAAATTAAGTGTATCAACCCTTAATTTGAGTAGGTAAATAGGATGATCTGCCAATGAAATAAGTTTAGCCTTAAACCAATATAAGTGGATTTTATACACTAGAAATAAGAGACTGCAGTTGTTTTTTCTTATTTTAAATGTAAATTGTCTTATTCCATTGGTAAAGCACCTTACTTACCTACTCAATTCAAGAAAAAATACACTGAATTAAAGAAAAATGAATGACTAAGATTTAAATCTTTGCAGTGTAATCGTAAACCTAGCTTTTAATAATGTCTTTTGTATTTTTCTCTTCTAAATATCCTTCAGAGCTGCTGGAACTGTGGTCGTAAAGCCAGCGAGACGTGCAGCGGCTGTAACACAGCGCGCTACTGCGGCTCCTTCTGCCAGCACAAGGACTGGGAGAAGCACCACCATGTCTGCGGTCAGACCCTCCAGGCCCAGCAGCAGCAGCAGCAGTCCAGCCAGCCGCAAGGAGGAGTTCCAGGCTCAGAGACTCCCGCCCCCATCAGCTCTTCAGCCTGCACTCCAAGCAGCGGCACCGGGAGTCCTGCTGCGACCCCCCCTGCCGCTACTCCACGCTCGTCCACCCCCAGCACCCCATCCTCTTCTGCTCTTGACAGTACACCTCGCTAGGAAAGCTTCCCATGTGCAACAAACAGTGCTAAAACCCACAAAGAGCATGACTGTCTACATCATGACATTGTCTTTGCAAAGAAAACAACAGATAGGGACGGCAAAGCATGTGTCTGTCTTACAATGTGGTCGAAAAAGGAGGAAAAACGAGGTCAATAATCAGGTCATATTGACTTGCCATGACTTTAAAGAAACGCAAAGATATTCTTTGTGTTGAATGAACAAATTGAAAAATTACATCCTTTTATCATTACACTTCTTTGCTCTTGTGCGTTGGTTGTTGTACCTGTTGTCGTTACTGTTGTCAGTGTAGCTTCTCTTACTTTACTTTGTAAATATAAAAAGACTGATCTGAGGAGTCAAGACCTCACCTTTATAAATGTTTTATTTTTCGTCTCTCATTTAAGCTTTATTTCCTCTCTGTTCCAGACATTGCACCTAAGTTAACTTTTCATACAAAGCCGAATGACTGAAGTGGTCAATATTCACTGCAAATGAGGAGATTAGATTTTAATACAGGCTGATGAATAAATAAGGGACAGACTGAACCTCTGGCTTGCAGACCCAGCCGCCAAGAAGCAGGCAGATGTGCAGCAGATTGCAAGCCGAGCCAGCTGTTCAGCCGGCATTATTTCCCTCTCACTTGTCGTAATATCCAGGTCAGTGGGCTGTGAAATCCAAATCCAAGTTCCCCAAAGGATGGAAAAGGAAGACTTCTTGGACAGAATGCAAAACAACTTTGCCCACAGCGCACAAACGCACGCAGGATGCACTGAGAAACATTTCACGTGCATGCTCGCCGGGTTACAAAAGCTCTTTAACGACCAGAAAATGAGGTTATCAGCTTGCCGGCGAGACTGTCAGACATCTTCAGTGGCAGCTGCTTGGTGGCTCAGACCTGGAAACTAATATTGTGTTGACATGCTCCTCCTCTCTCAACATTTCCTCCCACCTTTCATTTATTTTGTGTAAACGTCACGCTTTCTGTCATGTGGTGTTACCAATGGTTATTTATTGAATATGTTTTGGACACTTGTGACAGTTGATAGTACCTGGAAAAAAGTCATGGTTCAAACTCTTCATATTTCCATCTCTAGCTGGAGGAAGAAAAGATTAAAAAAAAGGAAGTGTTACTTTTTTCAAGCTGCTTTTCTATTCTGTGTGTATGTAGTAGAATCTTTGTAGCTTCATGAGTTTTATCCCCTCACCCCAAGAAAAGACACAATATTATATCTCAGAGCTGCTACTTCATTTCGACCGAGATCTCTTCTGAGAACTAGCATGTTGCGTGGAATGCTAAGCTAAATGTTTTGTACAAGGGACATACAATGCTGGGACAAAGGATCTGCCCCCCACAGATTACACCTAAATGTTCACAATGATTGTTGGCCTGCTTCATGCTGTTTGACAGGTACTATTTTGTGATTCCTTGTCCGGTAGTTATTATGCCGGGAAATGGCTCATGAGAGGAATTCAGATTTCCAAAACACCATTTTATATTTACTCAGGATATCTTTGATATTAGTGTTTGATTAAATAAATATTTAAAAGAGACAAAGAAAGTGAGAACATGAGAAATCTGTGTGGGGACAAATACCTTTTCACAGCACTGTACATATATGTATTTGCACTGTCATGGAATTTATTTCGGCATGCTTCTTTTCAACATTCTTGGAGCCATAATTCATCAGCAATTTTGTATGTTGTATCATGTTTTTGTTTTTTTATAAATATTGTTTTGAAATGACGCAGCTGTAAAACATGAACACATCAAAATCTTTTTTTCCTAATCTTCATTATAAGAATAGCACCCGAAATGTTTTTATTTAAATAGCTACACGCTGTGCATGTACATTACTGAAAATTTGTTAAATATTTGTTTTTTAGGAAAAAAAAGCAAAACAACCAAAAAAAATAACAAAATACAAAAAAAGTACTCTAACAAAGTGATTTTCCAAATGCAGAGGTGTAGACTTCGATTGACAGCTTTAACATTGCAGAGCACCAGGTCACACACACGTACACACAGTATTACTACACAAGTACAATATGAAACACCAAAACAGCCAAAGACTGACACCAAGGACCAAAACCCTGATGTAAACATGTTTTAAGAGGTTTGTTCACTTTGACATTTGGTCACTTTTCCCCAGGTTTCATTCATATTCCCTAGACCAAAACTTGTTTCTGTGTCACAAACTTAATTTATTTCAGGCCATTTATGGATCTCACCTCTACTGATTATGACAGAGAGAAGAGTGGAAATACAAGAAAATAAAACTGCAGTATTACATTTTATCCGGAGCAATAATAAAGCCAGTGATATGGTAAACATTTAGTTGAAAAACGGAGAGGCTTTTTGGTTTGTTTATTTCTCTTTTTACAGATTCTAAATGTCAGTTTTAGTAGGAGATGCACTGATCAAAATTTGTACTTGTCCAATTCCTCCAGTCTTTGTCAAGTGTTGCTGTACCAACACAAAATATATTTTTGCTTTCCCACTTTGACCATCTATTCATAGCAGGACATAGAGACATAACCCACTATCTGTTTCAGAGTAATGGTAAAACAAGGTTTTAGATGCAGCTTTAAGCTGTATTTAGCAACTTAAATTAGCGATTAGCATGGTTAGGAATTAATCCAAACTAGCATTTCCAAAAGTCTTTCCAAATCCAGTATGTTCCATGGTAGGATTAAATGAAAGCTCAATATTCTGTTGAACCTTCCTGTTAGTTGTTGAATATCTTACTCTCTGCCTTTATCCGGAAGCCTGGATGAACTGCAGAGATGTCTTGAACAGATTTAGAAAACATACCTTCTGTTTAAATACCTGTGCTTCGCAGATTTTATTGTTATCCTCACTGTCTTTTTTTTTTTTTTTTTTTTTTGACTTCACCGTGGTGGGAATTTTTCCAGTCCAATATGGTAGTTCTTCGATCCAGTGCATTGAGTTATATAGAAAAAAATTAGATTTTTTACATTTGCCGGTCGAGGCCGATCAAGTTGAATGTCAGACGATCCCCCAGTGCATCTCTAATTTTGTTTTTCATGTCAGCTTTACGTCGTTTATAATTCTCCCGGTGTGAACTTGAAACTTGGCTTTTGGACCAATATACAGTAATCAGCTTTTTTTCCAAGCAGTTTTTAATAAATATAGGATTCATAGACAGATGCTTTGTTATTAATCTACAACATTAATAACAAAAACCTGTCATCTGCAGTTAGAGAGCACTTCCCCTGACATACCTAAAGGCTCCTCACCCCAAACACCTCGGTGCTATACAGAAGCGTGTAACGAACATAAATTCTGACCTCAAGAAACAAGTGGAAGTGTTTGGGGCAATCTGCTCCATCTAGGCTTCCTTGTTTCTTTCCTCAAATCAAATTTAAATATCACACCTGCACTCTTGGATTTGAAGGGTCCTAATAACTTTGTCCATCGCCTGACTCCTGACTTCTCTGTAGTTCTAACACGAAAGACAAGCTGTTGGAACCCAACTGTATGTGAAATAATATAACAGATGACAAATGTGTACATTTCTCTATCAGGGAGAAATCTGTGTTTAAAAAAGAAGAAAAAAATCTCAGTCAACAATTCTTGAAGAATTTCTATTTTACCTTTATTCCCTTCTCTAGCTGTGCTTTGCTACAAATTTCTAGGTGGCAAACAAGTTTGTCTCACTCTACCTCTTGGAGCACGATAAGAGCATCAGTTGTGGCGCTGATACTGGTCTAGTCTAAACCAAATGGGCACAAGAGAACAGGAAAAATGAAACCCAAAGTCAAAGCTCATACAGCTGCAAAACCATATCACTACTTGGTAACAATGCAGACCTCATAAATAAAAGAAAAATAAGTAGAAAAAAAATCTTTGTTATGTTCTTGTAAGCCTTTGAGTACACCAAGAGTTTGAAACGTTTAAAGAAATCTAAAAGTGTGTGCAAATTTTAAAGAAAAGTGTTGTTTCTTTTGTTAATAATACAAATTAAGATCAGAAATGAGAAATGTCTTGATTTTTTTTCTCTCCCTCTTTTCTCCTTCTGTCTGTTGTGAAGACATGCAAATTTGCTTGTTGGACTGTCAGCTAGGGAATCCATACAAAAAGGCAAATCTTTTAAGGAATTAATCAAAATTAACATTATAAAATTTAGATCATTAATTCAGATTTGACTATTATTTAAATTTGGAAACAGGAAAGATGCAGGGGCTTATAGCAAACTGCTTAGCATAAACCAGAGACAATGAGTCAAACTTAAGGAGGGGGGAAGGAGTTCTGGTCTTATGGTAAAATGTAAAAAAGAAAAAAAAATCAAATAATTTCAAGTTGTTGTGCAATACTTTATTGAGATATAAAAACCACAGGTTAGTGGTAGGCTGACACAGAGTGGTCTTTACATCACTTAGAGTCAGTGTCTTCTAGAGAGCTTTCCAGTCTACTATGTCAGAATTGTGGTTTCTTGTTGATTTATTTCTTTTGTGTTTTGTTTTCTTTAACTATTATGTTAATTTTTTTTGTTATTCTTTTTGGGGGGCTGTAAATTATGGTCTGTCAGTCTGTGAAACTTTGCAGTATAATTCTGGTATTGTTGTTCTATTTACAGTGAAATAAATATGTTAATTCTTGCCCATTGACATGAGTCTTCTTTGTATTATTTGATTAACTAGTTTACTTTGATGACAGTAACACTATTGATAGGATTAGAAAGGTTGATTTTGTAATGTCAAATTATGTGTTATTTCTAGCCCTTTTATTTTTTCTTATTGTGAGTCATACACATTTTAAATGTAGCATTTATATATTGTAAGGGTATTTTCATTGACTGAGGGCTTATTCAGAAACAGCCCCTTACTTGCTAATGTTTAGCTATAGGATGTCGCAAAAGGGTTAAAAATCTGAAAGTGAATTATGTAAAAAGAGCAACTACCTAATAATGAGGGCATATACTGTACAGTACATTGCCCCATGGTTAAGGTCTGCATGCGTACTATAAATGCATTGAGCCTCAGTATGTATGAAAAGTACAGAGAAATGAGGTCTGCCAACTGAGACCACATATGTAAACGAAAAGTCGTGAAAAATTAAAATGCTGCGATCACAGATATAAAAAAATATAAAAACCAGCTGCAAATATTTCAATGATGCTAAGAAATTAAAGACATGCAAGGGAAAATGCTCCAAGTGGTAAAATTGACTGCAGGTTAAGATAATTGCAAATAGTGGCAGTGTTCCAGACCACTAGGCCGAGATTAATTCATATGAGACCAGAACATTGACATTCCTACAAATTAAAGCAAGAGTCTGTAATTTCTGACCAAAATATTAAATCAGGTTGAGATATATTAAATAATTTGATCAGGTCAATATACAGCCCTTAATGATGCTCACTGCTGGTTGGCCTTGAAAACTTTCCATTGACTGAACGCTCTGAGTCACGTGACTCAGAGCGTTGTTTTACAGCAGTCTGAGCTCCCTTAATCACAAACGCTAACTAATCTAAAAGTTGTTGTTAGGAAACAAAACAATATGGCACTTACCTGATCAGACGCCAGAGGATGTTTCAGAAAAGAAAGACAAAACCCTTCGAATCGTTTTCAGTTAGTCAGTTTCTCTGAGCATCCAATTTGTTTCTAACAAAGGGTCTGGTCTCATATAAGTTGGTGATCGTGTTCCTCTGGTGGGCTGGATAACTTACAGTTACAGTAAGATTGTTTGCAGCTTTTATTAACTTGCAGTTATCTTTTATTACTTACAGCAATTTCCTTTTGGATATGTTTTGTGTATTATTATCATATGTTCATTTGCAGAAGGCTTTGTTGCATTTTTCTTTAGCAGTGTTTTTAGTGTTGGTGTCATTATTGTGATTCTCTTTTTCATTTTCTCTAGTTATCTTTTTTTCTGTTTGCGGTAGTTTTTTGTCTTTGTTCATGTATTTGCAGTTTGTTTTTACCTTTTTAAAATTTGAAGCTTTTATTTTTATTTTCTTTAACCGTAATCTATCATTGTTTGCATCAACAATTCTCTTATTGTTTCAGTTTAATTACTGACCTATATTTCTTACATTTTGTATTTTAATTTTAATTTATGAAGATGCAACTGTATTAAAGTTTAAAACAAAGGTGAGGTGAGGTTATTTTATTAGCTGTTATTAGATATATTTATGCTTATAATGCATTCCAAGAATGAATTTAAGGACTTACATTTGAAATGTACCAGTGACCAGAACAATTAACCCTTCTACCTTCTTTTGCCTGACAAGATTGTAATGGAGCTGAAAGAGCTGGAATCAGCAGCTCCCTTTTCAGAAAGAGCAACAGCGAGGCCACAAAGCAGCTCATCGGCTCTGGAATTGCAGCCCCTGATGTGACCTCCTTCCCCTAATACTTATCATTGTGTTGAGCCACTTTAGAGCTGATAAAGCTCAGGGATGAGTTGGACTGCTGTGATATTGCTGCCACATTCTTCTACATAAAGTTCATTGTGACCAAGGCTCTTCTTCTTCTCAGCCTCATCTTCTTTTTGCTCTACCTTTCTTTCCCTCTCTCTTTTTCTTATCAAGCCAGGCAGAAGCAGACACAGACTTGAATTAAGCGCTAGTTTGAAGAGAGGGTGGGCGAGCTGTATGAAGCTGATAACAATACAAAATGGATTTTCTCAAACAGAGAAAAACAGCTGTCTCCATTATTTGAATGCTTCACCTTTCCCCGCTCCATTAATTGGCTCTTTGATCACAGGCAGAGGTGCACAGCGGCTGATAAGGAGCAGGTTATTAGTAAAGTAGCCTGGAGGACCCAGAGGCGGCTGTCCATGGCAGGCTGCGGGAGATGAGATAAAGGCGTGGTAATGGCGATGTGAGTGGGTGCTGTTGAGTGATAGGGGCTGTGCCGCCTGGCCCTCACGTCACCACCGCCTGGCTCACACCATTCAGAGGAAACGGCTGCAGCAGCAGAATGGAGTGCGATACAGTCGCTAATTCAGGATTGTGACTCATCTTGTAAGGAATAGAGAGCAGGATTTGATTTTCTTACTGCTTACTCCTTGAAGAAGATGATCATTTGTCCTTGCTTCTCCAATCCTCTAATAATCAAACAGTGTGACAGGATCTTTTTTTTCCTTTGCTGTGATACCCTGCAAGGAGAGAAAGAAGCATGACATTAACTCATCTTAAGTAAAACAGGTTGGTTCCTCAGATTTTATGCTGAAAGAAAATGTACATTCAGTTCTAGTAAATCCTAACAAGAAGCCTGTTTACAGTATATATTTATTACATCCAATGGCATCGAGCAGTTCACAACCGGAAAGAAATCTTCAAGAAATCTTTATCCTGTAATTCCCCTCCAGTCGTCTTACAGCCTGCCCTTTCCTAACTTCCCACTTTAAGACATTTCGGGCCAGAGGGGACAAGAAGGGTATTTGTGTGTTGTAAAGCATGGCAAAAATGAGGGAAAGTGTTGATATTAAATTAAAGAACACAAGGTTATCTAGTTCCTGCACATGGTTGGGTTGCCAGGGGCCAAGGGTAATCTCCTAATAGCGTTCACAACGGATGACATTATTAAGGAACAGGGTCCATGTGTCAGGGCTTTTTTCCCTCTCTCTCTTTCTCATTCTTTCTACCTCCTTTTTAGAAGCACATATAGAAATGGAGAAGAGCAATAAAAAAGTAGATAAAACAGGGACAGAGGTTTATAAACTTTAGTAGGTGATTAAATGTAAGGAATAAGTGAAGCTATATTTTTTTCTTGGATAATTGTTTCATCAGAACCTCTGCAGTTTTTAAGACTGTCATCCATCCATCGATCCATCCATCCATCCATCCATCCATCCATCCATCCATCCATCCATCCATCCATCCATCCATCCATCCAGAGATCTACTTGTATTAAAAGGTGCCTGCAAAACCTCCATGGGAACTTATCGAAGAGGAATCCTTATCAGTCGTCTGACCTGACCTTTACATGAGACTCTAATTCAAGCTACTCCTGCAGCTCCTCACCTTTTTCTTTTATAACCCACCCATATTGATAGCACTATACATGCATTTAAAAATACAACTCTTTAGTTTTCTATTAAACAAGCCAAGCTTGCATTGTTCAGCCAGCGCTCAACACTTCAAGGCATGGTGCTAATAATCTCTCTCAAGCTTCTTCTATTTAAATTGATAAAATAGTCGCCAGCTGAAGTCCTGTTATCTCTTCTGCCTTGCCCACCTTAAAAGCAATTAGTCACCGGGGATGGAAGTAGCATCCCTTTAAAAAAATCTGCCCTCTCCATCAAAAACTTAAATTTTTTCTCCCGTCAAACCTAGAGGTAAATTGCAGAACTACTTTGGTACCTACTTTCTGAGACAATCATATGAGAGTTGCGAATAAAGAGCAAAGAATATGGTATTTTATGTTATCAAATGAGCAGCAGTCTGTAAAACATGGAAGCTAGGAAGAGAAGTGGACCAGGTCCCGACAATAATTAAGGAGATTCTTTAAAGGTTTTTACATCTGGACTTAAATCAGAGCTGTGGTCTATAAGTTTATTTAAGTGTTTACATGAATCAAAAAATGCTTAAATATGACTATTTGACTGTAATCCGAAATGTAAAGTAGTGTATATGTGATGAGTACTTTCTTGCAATTTCTCACATGGCCTCTACAGCTACACAGACCTGAAACCCCCCCCCCCCCCCCTCAAATGGAAAACCTGACCAACCTGCAGAGAAAGGAATTTCAGCCACTTGTATTTAGTATTAAATTATTTTGCTCATGACCCAACTTTCTGTCTGATGCATGAGGGCTTTAAAAATAAACCATTCAGGAAATTTGAGCAGTTTACTTTTTGGCTTTCCTGTCTCTTTACCACAACAAGCCAGCACTTCATCTTCAGAAATGGAGCATTTTGATATTACAGGTTTCCATATTTTGGTTGTTTGGGCCTTAGATTCACAAACCTGAAACTTAGAAACTGCTTAACTGACACTGCCTGGTTCAAAACTTGCCTTTCTACACAATTGCTGATTGCTAGGCCTACCTATCTGGTTATCTGAGCTTTATTAAGCTGTCTCACAGCCTTAGATTGCAATGATCCCATAAAAAACAGCTAATGTGCAAAGAAAAAGATGAAATTAATAGATAATCCACCTGTTCTCCATCAGGTTCACACATATACTTGTACCTGCAGCATTCTCGCCATGTAACAGTTCTGAGTTAACAGATTGTGTATGGCCAGGTGACCACTCAGAAGACAAGGTGCCCATGCTGAGCAGTGTCCACTGCAGAAAGCGATAACAGACAAGAACGCACCAGAACTGCACCAAGGATTGGAAGGTCAAGTGAATCATATTGTTAAACATCTTATATAGAAAGATAATTTACCTGGGAATATATACCTCAGGAAAACTTAGCACCAGGGATTCATATAAGGAATAGGCAAGCTTATAAAAGCAGAGGAGTTTTTGGAGACATTTGCTACAGAAAAACTTTGGGTCTTGCCCTATATACATATATGGTTGCTTTGACACATCCCTCCAACTTAAGTACTGGTGTAGAAGATGCACACTCTTTTATGAGAGCTACCTGAAGGCTTTGGCCCTTTTTCAGAAGAATAATGCAATCTACCACAAAAATACATTAAT